TCCCAGCAATATATTATACAGGACTGCTCCATTCACCACATTTACGTGAGTGGAAGAAATTCCTTCTTAAAGAGAATCCCTTTTGTCCACTCCTAGCAAGGATGTGAGGTGGTGTAGAGCAATCTTGAGAAGTTGGCCAGCTACTGCAAAAAATTAGCCCTGTCCTGGGCAGAACCAGGATACTCACTTGATGATTTTTAGTTTTGCTAGAATGTCTATAGTATTTATAATTATTATCATCATACAAACGTATGTTACTAATCTCAGCTTTCTTAAAAGGAAAAAAAAAGTATTTCTTCAAAGGTTAAGCTAGATCTTCCATGGCATATCTTGCTTCCTCTTGGTGGAAAACACATACTCTAAAAGCTGACTCACAATCACAATCTGTTCCACGGAGAGGATTCTTCCTCTTCTACTGCCTAGTCTCTCATGGTAGTAAATATAACTGAGTATTTCTCATTTTTCCTGAGCTAGATTATAACACAAGACCATAGCTTGAACTTCATTGACACATTAGTCATTGCTGCACTGGAGCACATGCTGTGTCATCACCATGAAGAAATTAAAAAGTAACATGGTGTTTACGGATAATTTGATGCAAAGATGGAAATACCTGTGTTTATTCCAAAGCACTGAAGCACATCCGATTGCAACTGCTAATGGATAATATTGCTTTCTCCTTTTTTTAAAAACTATCTTCAAAAAGAGTATGTTCCTCTGTATAACAGAATGAAGTTTATGCAAATTAGAATAAGTATCTCATTGGCAATACTGTTTAATCAAACTTATTAACTATCAATCCTCGTAACACTATGCTTCCTAAAATGAGATTTCTAAACTAATTCAACTGTATTTGACTTCCGGTATCTACCACCATTTAAAAAATGCTAAGGAAAGAGCCCTTTTCTCTATTCCCTCCTAACATTTGTTGCCCATGTCACTTCCTCTATTCCTATACTTTTATGCTTTTTCTCCTCACTGAATCCTGCTTCTCTCTCCCATCTTAAAGAAAAAGAAAAAGAAAATTGAAAGAAGAAGGAGGAAAAGTAATCCAGAAGGCAAATGAATGAGTGGGGATTCAGAGACAGGCATCCCATAAAATTTGGCATGTCCTCGGGTGTCCTTGTATTAATCAGCCAATTCTGGATGTCCCAGATACCTCAGATATTTGAACAGCAAGACACTTTGATTTAGGCACCCAATCCCAGTCTGGGTTCCAGCCAGGGTATCTTAAGCAGATCATGCAAAAAAATGTTGAAGCAACCACAGTTATCATCACTGTAATGTTGATACTACTTTTACAGATTTAATTCCCCTAAAGAACTTTAAAGTTCAGGCTACTAAGACAACTTTAGCTTGCTATTACTTCAGAGATGACATTTTATTTTTTTGTTTCTCAAGACTTTGGATCATCTCTTCTGTACTACACTTTTTTTCTGGAGATGACAGAGATTGGAAGGGGTGTCCAAACTAGTTGTACTAGAATTTATTAACAGAAATAGACAACCTCCAATTTGACCAAAATGAAGCTGAAAATATTAAAAAAGGACAGGCAGAGTATGATGGTGAATGTCTGTAAATATGAGTCAAATACTATAATTTCTTTTTTTTGGAAGAAGATAGACATGTCAAGTTAAGACTAGCCAAAAATTTGTACACATAGATTTTCTTCATGTTGTACTTTTAAAAATTGAAGACTGGGAGATCCTGAAGAGCCCAGTTAAAAAATACTGTTCAAATTATAATATGGCAGAATAAAAATCATTCTAGGAACTTTATTTTTGAAAAAACATCATTTCAACACATGCTTTATCCCACATTCAAGACAACCTATTTTTAAATATTTAAATTTTAAAACGTCCTCCCATCTCTGGTCTTTCTTTTCCTGCAGGTAGCTGCAGATCCTTGCCACTGAATCTGATGCCAGAACACTCTCACCAAAGCTAAACATTCAGACACATAAACAAAAGAAACCCAAAACCTTTGCAATTCACTGTATTAATTTAGTGGGAGGTTTGACAACTATAAATTGACTAGTCTGATTTTTACTCTTTTTTTTTGTCTATTGATTCAGACCAGTGAGTGTCCACAGCACAAGGAAAAGATTGCAGGCAAGGAAACCAATTTTCTTCTCACAGATGAATGCCCACTGTCTGTGTGTTTCTTGTGCAATTGATAAAACACCACTAGAATGAGATCAGCATCCTCAAACACCATGTAAGTGAAATTCATTTAGGAGACTAAAAATAAAAAAAACAAAAAAGACACTCTATAGTTTATTTTTGTGATTTTTATCTCATTTAATTGCATAATTTAGGTCAGAGAAGGTTCGAAGGAATGGAACGCCTATCAACACCAAGCAGTATGTCAGCCTTGTAGAGCTAGAAGAAACTGCAAGTGTGGAGTGACTGCACAGAAAATCTCATTCTTCAATGTGCTACTCTGAAGTTCTAATGCAGGTTAACAGAGTTGGATGCTACTCAAAAGCGTGTAGCATGGTGGAACCAATTTCCTGAGATATTCAGTGGTTACAAGGTTCACACCTATATGACTCCCTTCTTCCCTAGTCAGCAAACAAGGGATGGATTGTAAAGATTATTCCATGCCCTGAGCATAATTTCGTATTATTTTTGGTCCAAAGGGACCAAAAGAAAAACACATGCAGAGTCCAGATTTTTATTTCTGTGAAGGTGTTTCAACAAGCTAAGAACGAACTGTGAGCCTGCAGAGCTTGGTTGAAACCCCACTACCTTTACCTCAGTGAAACAATAATAATGCATATTATGGGGTGGGGGTGTGTCTATTTGGATAGGCAAGAATAACATCCAAAGAAAATAGGATCTCACTCTCAGAAAAAAAAGATGCAGCACATGCTCAGATAAATAATTCTTAAGGTTAATTGGCTGAACCTGAAGAAAAATTTAGAATCTTATGTACAGCTTCTCAGGAGAAGCTAAATAACCCAGTGAAGTCTAGAAAGCTTTTCAAATAGAAGTACTACACTATGAAGACCCATTCTCCAAATATTCCTGAGGTTGAAGTTATTAAACAATTGCAAAATTAGATTTATATTTAATTATCTTCTAGTATTTGTAACATTACTATAACCTTAGCACTTTCCAAAATCAAATTTCTATGTTGTTTGTAATGTCCTGGTAAATTAAACTGCTGTAGAAAGCAAGGTGCTGCATTTCAGCATGTAAAGTATCATAGTCATGGTGCTTCACCCTTTCTTACAACCACTCATCTCAAAAGGATGATGATATTTCCTCGTAACTACAACTGAATATATTTATCAAATTTAGGAAGAAAGAGCACACCACCCTCTTGAATACACCTGGCCCAGAAGAAGAAGCGTGGCTATAATTTGCCATGCTTTTGTGACACCACTATTTAAAGCAGAATATGATATGCATGTTTTGTTCTACTTTGTAAGTCTAGACAGGAAAAATGTCTTGGTTGACAGACATACAAAATGATATAACATTTCATCTCTTTTTTTGTTTGTTTGTTTCAAGCCACTCAGTTGTGATTCCATTTATCTGCCTGAAGTGCTGTTTGTGCACCTGAGTGTCAGCACAGACAAAGTGAGTGACTCTTCTGGGGACAGGACCCATCATCAGAGGGACCCTGACCTCAAGAGGAGAGGGAAGAGTAAAGACAGCCTGAGCTGCCTCACTGGTGATGGATCCACCTCAGAAGCAAGATCCATGAAGCCAAAGAAAATTTTTAAAAATGTTATTGGTTCCTTGATTTAATCAGTAAAAGGAGACACCTGGACCAAACATCAGAGCAGAAAAGATTTTTTCCCCTTAAATCTTAACCTTAAAGTAGAAAGACAAGCGAACTAAAATTAAAATAATGACTTCTGAGATCAGTTAACTAAGCAGATATTGCCACTTCAAAGGAAGTTTAATAAGCTTGTCAAACGATGACAGATTTAGAAATCAATTTGAAGCTAAGATAGCACTGCTTCAAAATCCTTACCAGCCTAGACAAGAAAGGCAAACTGGGAAAAACACTTTACAAGACACTTTTCAAAGTGCAATGTTACAGGAAGAGAAAGTGAAAACCAGAATAATGGGTATGGGTGCTTTACTGCACATCTCTAGGAGCACAAAATACTCAAAGGCTTTGAGGAGGTTCCTGAAAACTGTTTCTGAGACCAAAATTATGGCGGAAAAATATATAATATTAACACATCACTTAGGGATTTGTTCTTACCCTTGAGATTTAAAAAAAAATAAGCTGGGAATTTGGGTTTCTTTTAATTAACTTAATGGCATCAGTAATAGTCTCCAAGAACAAGTACGTACTCCTTAACAGTCAAAGGTCATAATTTTCTTAGATATAGTGTCCTTGAATTTCTTTAATTTTCAAGCTACTTAGGAAAAAACATTAAATGGTTATATATTTTAAAAATACGAGTGTACTCTTTTGTAATGAGTTTTTTAAAAAATAACCTCCAGGAAACAGTTCCTTTGAATCTCTCATACTCAAAATGACAGCTAGAACTAAGTGTTTATATTTTTTATAAATGAAAGCTATTGGAAGAGTGACTTTATTCAGAAATTGAAAGACCTATCAGCAAGGACGTGCAAACAACAATAAAAGCTATTTCTTCCAGAAGAAAAGCAAATATGACCTGGAGAACTCACTGGGAAGCTTTTCTGCTTCACTTTCTTTAAAAAAAAAAAAACCTCAGGCAAACATTTCTTTTTGCAATACCTCTTGAAGGTTACTGTACCATCAAATGGGGTCTCACCTATGGACAGGGCATTGGATATCATGCCAGAGCTATCCAAGACAATTAAGAGTTCATGCTCTATGGACTTCTGCCTCTGAGTGGACAAAACACCAACCCATAAGGCTGAGCAGAATGTAGATAGAATTGGAATGAGCTATTTGGGAAAAAGAGATTTAGATTAATTATACTTAATGCACCAAATAAAAAATAAAAAAAAAATTAAAAAAAAGGAAGCAAAATAGGCAATACTCACATCAGAGTTAAAACGAAGCTGGCAGACATTACAGGAAATGACTTGCTTCTTCTTTGGGGGAATGGACACTCCAAATGTATGGTTTATGACTGCTTTTTGCACAGGATCCATCTGGAAAACAAACAATAACCAATTCTTAACTTTTCAGGGTAATAAAGAGTACAGAAGAAAAATCAAAAAACAACACTTGCAGCAGCAAGCTCTTTTCTTTTTTAAGATAAAAAGGAGAAACAAGATTCCAGCCCTCACAATAATCATATTTAACAAAGGTTAGGGAATTGGTAGCATGCCAAAGCTGATGAAGAAAAGGCGGCTTCATTGTTGCTGTCATCCCCAGGTTACTAAATAGTTCTTTCCCCAACCCTGCACATCATCTGGGCTGCAGGGTCCCACTACCACCTCTGAATTGCCAATGAAAGCCCTCCCTATCACCCACTGTTCCAACAGACATATTACAGAAGCCACTTTTGCACCTGAGAAGTCACTATCATTTATTTCTACATGTTTTCCTTTGAGTGATAGATATTAGTACTTATTTGAAAAAGATTCTCTCCTGGAGATCTTTTTATGAAAGGAGGTCCTTTGCAGGCTCCCTTACCAATACCTCTTGCTGGAAAAGAGGCTGCAATCCCCAAGCATTTCCATGCAGAACTGATGAGTGACAGAGCCCATGGGAAGGCTGAAGTTTGGAGGAACATGAAGGGAATGTTTGGACCAGGAAAGTTAGCACGCCTCAGAAAACATTTTAACACTGAAAAAAATGTGAGGCAAGGGGGAAATCTGAACATATTACTCCTAAATTTGACTGAACCTTTTCAGGAACTCAGAACTGATCACATCTTTTTGCCAAATATCAGGATTCCTGTTGGTCATTAATATGCTCAGGATTGCAGAGCACTCTGCTGTTAATGCTGCAGAACCTGGGGAATGACAAGGGATGTTCAGAAAACAGAGTTTATAACTGCTGCTGTGTCGAGGCTCAGTCATAACATGTCATTCTTCCTGATGTGACATGAATACAGATTAAAACTAATTTCCTGATGCAAAAACACTCAAATGAAATTTTCTAATTAAAGAAAAAGCAGAATATCTGGTCTGGTCTCACAACTGATTCTGCTCTCAGCAGGATGTTGAACTAGATGACATCTGAGACCCCTTCCAACCCAAACGATCCTATGAGCATCTGTATGTGTGGTCCCTCATCCTTATCTAAGAAAAGTAATGGATTCTAAAACCGAGTGGGGAAAAAATAGCAGTCTACGACAAAAGATTTCCCCATTTTGTTTTTAAACCAGTTCAGAAGAAAATATTTTGATTTTTTTATAAAGTCAGGTTTTTCTGAAGCTTGCTTTGCAACCACAGTGATGTTTTTTTCCCTTACAGTACTATTGGAAGAAACAAACCTGGCTGTTTAATCCCAGGTGATACACATGACACACTTGGTACTAAGCCGACGTACAAAAGGACAAGAGAAGAGCTAAAGTAACTGATCCACTGAAGAATTAGAACAGGAAATTACCTGCCTCCAGACTTTCTAAACATGAAGCTAAAGACTTTTATTTTCCCTTAGTACAAATTTGAAACTTCCAGAGAAGCCTGCACTACTGAAGATTATCTGCACATATTTGCAAACACACAAAAAAATGAATTCAAGAAAAACATATTGCATTATATCTGCCTGAGAAGATATTCCCCTAATGTATTACCTAACATTAAACAACCACGTTGGGTTTTTTTGGACAATGGCTACATATGTTTCTTGCTGCATTCATTTTAAACCAAATGCATGATTTTGTAAATGGCAATAGTAATAAATTTCCCTGAGAGGTAATTTAATTTTTATCAGCTTCTGCCACTAAATGCTATATTTCATTGCCACAGGGGTACCACATGACAATGCAAAAGTAAAACCACTTCATCTGGAATGATCTACTGAATTATTTAATGATGCACTGTTGTTACAATGAATTGTGACAAAATCTAATAAAAACCCATGAAATAAATGCCCTTGTTACCTGTTTCATCTATTTCTAGGACATAGTTAGAATTCAAAGTCTAAAAGCTTAAAACACAATAAAAATCCCCCTTTTTCTGACTTGTACCATTTATGGCATTGTCCTACATGGTCTATCAAAGTTTTAAATGCAGATTAAAAGTTTTTTGAGCATCGACTTTATAATAGATATGACAGTCAGTATATATTATATTTATTATACATGTTCAAATATTGCTGTACTATTAGGAAAGAGTTGATTGGATCTTTTCTTAAATGGAAGATAGTATTTAAGTTAAAACATAAAACATAAGTGTTAATCAGTTAATCTAGAAGAAAAGAGCAACGTTCAAAAGTACCTCAACCATTTGGAGTGTCTGAGATCGGTGAAATAGCAAAAATACCCAGAATTGTCTGCAGACCCGTTTAAAAAAAATACAAAGGGAAGAAGCAGTGCTCAATGACTCCTCTGTGCATTCCAAATAACAATCCACAGCGCTAGTGCGAGGCCAGGCACTTCACAACCACACAATGCACACTGTGCACAAAGTCCCAGCTTCAAACAGATACAACAGCCCAAGGAAAAAAATCCACAAAAATAATACAGCTCATGCTGCCTCCAGAAAGTACCACTCGTGATCCCCAGGGGAGTGGGTAATGATCCTTCCCTAACTGGAGCCCTGCATGCAGGTTGGTCATGATTAGAATTCAAGAAGTGCAACATTAACAATTAATATGCTTTAAATATATCAGAAACTGGCGTGGATTACAGCATGCTGGAAAAATAAAATAGTATCTCTCTGTTAGAAGATTAATGCTGCAGGGTAAACTGATCTTAGATCCCTACACAAAATCATCCTCTTCATTGCAGGGAGGGAGGGAGCAGGAAAGAGGGAGAGACTTATTTGTTGAGGTGTTTATTAGAAAATGACACAGCATAGCCTTGCCCAGTGGGGATCACCAGTATTTAAGAACCAGATCTATAAAACAAAATAATAACAGAAGCTAACAGCTACCACAAATTCAAATAAAAATCTGCACTACACAGTTTATGCTACAGGGAGATTTAACAAAACAATTCATAGTACTCTGGTAGCCTTAACTACGTTTAATAACCTGTTAGTATTGTTCTCCCCTTTCGATTTGTTTAATAAAAAGGTAAATTTTAAAATGCCTTTCCAAGAAAGTTAAAGATACCATCTTTTTTGCAATAATTCTCATTAAAACCACCCAAACTTTCGAAGCAAGTAAGGGTTAAGAGAATCCAGACAGAAATACTCTACAGTTACTGAGATTTGCAAGAAGAACTTTAAAGGCACCTAGAAAATACAAGTGTAGAAACAGACAGGAGCAGCACAGATATTGTATTTCTGACTGATTTTTTTCATATTTTCCCACCAAAAATTTTCCAGACTCAGGTGTCTTCTGTGTATTTGATCAATTCCAGTGACTTTCTGTTGCATAGTTACCCCTGGAATGGATGTAAACCAGTTTCCACCCTTTGAATGCACTTCCAATGCCTACAGTCCTCAGTGCCAAGAAATTATTACTTTTGTTTAAATGTACTTTCATAAAGTTCAATTTTATAAAACCTGTACCACATCTCAAGTTATCTTTGTGCTACTCGGTCATTCTGTGTATAGAAAGTATTCCATTATTTTCCACATTCTTGTTGCCCATATCAATTTTACCAAAAACCAACTAATTAAATTAAATATATTGAAGATATGGACAGGAACCACATAAAATACTCTGGGTATATCAGTATTGAACTCTGAGCTGATATTTTCAAGGAACCACTGTTATAAAGCTGAGCTCTCACTCCCATGTCTTGATGGCCAATTCCTAGCACACTACTTTCTATGTCAAGTTTTGTGAATTTTTACTCCCATGTGCCTCACTTTAGAAATATCTGGATGTAACTTTACCAACCACTATTGTCTGGCTTGTCAGTCTCATCAAGGTATTTTACAAGTTTGTTGTTTTTCTTCGTCCTCACTTCCTTGGAGAACTTTGTCAAGAGCAAATTTCCTCAGCTCACTTAACTCCCAAGCATCTTTTTGTCATGCAAGAATCTTCTCATGCCAGTTTAGTTTTCTTAAAAAATCTTTGCCAAGGAGTTTTGTGAAAAACCTTTTTAGCAATTCAGACTATGTAGATTTAAACATCCTTATTCACATGTTTGTTGATAAGCCTATAAACAGACATGTAAAGAAGGATTTATCTTTACAAAGGAATTATGTTGACACTTAACTGGCGGTTTACAGGACGAGGTATTCTATTATACTGTTCTTACTGAGGTACCTGTTCATTTGCCTGGTAAAAAAACCCTTTAATTCTCCATGGAATGGGTTTTAAAAACTTGCACTATATTTCCCAGCTTTTAGTCCTCAGGTACAAAGGCAGTTTTAGATGAGCTGTTACACATTATCATTAGAAATTCAGGAATTTCATCCTTGAATTCTCTTATTCTTGCTACCAGAAACTCTACCTGCCCTGCTGTATATCATAGTACCACAGATTCTTCTGGTGCCTCCTGGGAAAGGAAACAGACTAAAAAGAGAGATGAAATTAGGCACAGGAAGAAGAGAAAAAAATAAATGCGTTGGGAGAATTCGTTTGGTGAAACTGAAATTCTGGTTATTTTGAAAGCTCTCTTTATACACAGCAGACTCTAAAAGCACCTGTTTGTGAGCCTCAGAAATAAACTGCAATGATCTTGAGGGGAGGGAAGTAAGTGCTGTCTTTTTGTAACAGAAGCATAACTTAAACCTGAGTAAGGTTTAAAATTGTGACTGGCAATGTATGTCCTCTTACCTCTTATCAAGATGTAAATCTTGGGTCAAATATAGAGTTAAGTGTTAGACAAGCTTTTGTAAACATAATATTGGTTGTGAGATGTAACCCAGTATCACTTAACCAGCAGGCATAATAAGCTTCTGAAAAACACAGAGTGGCCTTCAGCATGCTATGCTGGTCTACTCTGATAAAGAAGTTTTAAAGCCAATGTGGAACAAACATAATATAATCCAGTATTTCCCTCCAGAAAAAAAACAAAAACACTGGCATGTATAAACTACCAGTGCAACATCTAAATTAAGTTCTGTAACTCATGTGT